TCTCTCCATATTTATTGAATTGAGTAAGGGTAAAAGTGGAAACTAATACTTAGTTAATTATATTTGATTTTTCTAAAATGTCAATTATTTTGGACCATCTATTTTTATTTTTTTTTTAGTTTAGGACCATATGATTCAAAAGTTTTAAGTACTTTATAAAACTTCATGTTCAGTCAAACTATAACACATAAATCGAAACAGAAAAAGTAAATGCGCAATATTACTTGTCTAGTACTTTCATTATGACTCCTTAATCTCTATTAGTATGTTTTACTAGTACTAGTACAAATCAAAAAGAAAAAAACAGTAAACTAAGCAAACAAATAAACCTCAAAAAGTGGAACAAAATTTTCCAAGAGCACAATAAATACTACTCCTATATTTGTTCTCATTGGGAAAAAATGGTACAATACATTTACTGAATTGATGGAAAACACAAATAAAGAATTTAATTTTACAAAAAAAAAAGTAGGTATTTTTTCGTCAACAATGAAAGTCGTTGAACTTCAAACTCGAGTGGAATAATTTATTCATATGGGAATTTTCATCCTATTAGTGTCACATCTACTTTTCTATCTTTGCAATTCTTTTTTCACCATACCGGGACAAGACATGATCGTGATTTAAGAAAAAAGTACCATAAAAAAGACTAAAGAAATTAGGGCATGACCTATGTTACTAGGACTCTTAAAGAATATTGCATCACCCTTCTCTATCCTTTAAATATATATTATTTTTGAAGGATCTGACATAATCGATATTTTTATATAAGTCCAAACAACATAGAAAATAATTACTTTTAACAAAACACAGACTAATACGAACCGATCAGAAGAAGCAAAAGGATGGTGAAAAAGAAACAAACCTCAAACCTTTGTTGTTGTAAGAGAAATTCTTAGTAGAAGAAAAGGTTGTTCCTGGAATTAGAAATCCACAATTGGGAACTCAGTCAAAGAAACACAAAGTTATATTTATGCTTTGTAGTAAATGATCATTAAATTGTTTATTAGTTATATATATACTTTGTAATAAATGATCATTAATTTGATCCTTTGTCCTTTTTATTTTTATATTTTGACCCTTAAATATATTTTGACCAACTTTTCCTTTTAACGATGAAAGTAGCTGAATTTCAGATAGAGGGTGTGCATAGTGGAAAATGTATTTTTGATTTTTCATGTTCGGTTAGTCATAATTTTAGAAAAATATTTTATTTAGGAAAATAAATTTTCACATTGATTGTTTCTTTTCATCCTCCGGCACACCTCATCTTCACCCTGTGCATTACTCATGGCATAGCCACATGAAGTAACCGATGACCAGTTGAACACAGTCACACACTTTGTCGGAAAGTTATATTATGTATATAAAAAATACACCAAGTATATAGAACAACAATTATTTTTCATAAGTATATATTAAATTCATTTTGAACACCCTGAACGAAATTTTTAATTTTGTAGCTAGCACACATAGCCCCATCCCACCACCCCACACTCCTACCCCCGCACCCACCTCCCATAATATTTTTAGTTTAGGACCATATGATTCAAAAGTTTCAGTATTTTCTTAAACTTCAGAATAAGTCAAATTAAAACATATAAATCGAAACATAAAAGAATAAATCAACAATATTAATCCTCTAATATACTTTCATTATGACTCCTTAATCTCTATTATCATGTTTTCCTAGTACTTGTATAAATGGAAAAGAAAAATAAGTAAACTAAACAAAGAAACCTTCTAAAATGGAACAAAAATTTCGAGAGTACAGATGAGCACAATAAATACTAATATTTGTTCCTATTGGAAAAAAAATAATGGTTACAATACATTAATTGAATTGATGAAAAAGACAAACAAAGAGTTTAATTTACTTTTCATTTCTCCCCCTTTCATTGAATTATTGTTTTATTTTTGGAGAAGTAGGTGTTCGTTAACCATGAAAGTCATTGAACTTTAAACTCAAACGGAAATCTACTTTCACATACACCTAATTTATTCATATGGGAAATGCCATCCTATTAATATCATATCTCTTACTCTCTATTCATTTTTAATTGTCATGTTGCATTTTTTGAAAGTCAATTTGACTAATTTTCAAAGTTAAATCAGATTACATTATTTTGATATTTTAAACTAAAAACTTAGATATTCAAAAACTATACGAAAAATATTATAAATTGCAATTTTTTATATATATATATATCAATTTAATGAAAAAATACATCATAAAATAATGTTAATCAAAATTCTTATCGTTTGAATCTAAAAAAAGGAAAGCATAACAACTAAAAAGAAACGGAGGAAGTACTTTTCAACCCTTTTCTATATCTCTTTTTGTACTCTTTCTTTCTAACTTTTCAAAAGAACATTACTATAAAGACATGATCGTGATTTAAGAAAAAAATACTTTTGAAAAGACTAAAGAAATTGAGAAATGACTTATGTTACTCAGACTCTTAAAAAATATTGTATCACCCCCGTCGATCCTTAAAAAATATATTATTTCTGAAGAATCCAACATACACCAATCGATATTTTTAAAAAGTCCAAACAATATAGAGAATAATTACCTATAACAAAACACAGATTAATACGAGCCGATCAGAAGAAGCAAAAAATTACGAAAAAGAAACAAACCTGAAAAACCTTAGTTGTTGTAAGAGAAATTCTTAGTAGAAGAAAAAGTTGTTCCTGGAATTAGAAATCCACAATTTGGAATTCAGTGAGAAACACAAAGTTATGTTTATGCTTTGTTATAAATGATCCTTAATTTGTTCTATCTGCCCTTTTTATTTTATTTTTTAAATGTAGGAGTAAAGAGAAAATGTTAAAAAAATGGTCCCTCAAATATATTTTGAGTATTTTTTGTCCTTTAATGAAAGTTGCTGAAAATACTTTTTCGATTTTATCATGTTCGGTTAGTCAAAAAAATTTAAAATATTTTTTTATAGGAAAACAAATTTTCTTAAAAGAAAAAAAAAGACTTTTCTGTAGAAGTGGGAAAGCAATTTCATTTGATTGTGTCATTCCGACCCTCCAACACACCCCATCTTCATAGACTTCACCTCTACACATGCCCCATCCTCACACCTACCTCCTATGGTATTTATCTAGATTATGTATAAATATTTTTAGAATAATATCTTTTTATTTACGAATAAATAAACACAAAAAATAAATAAGAAATTCATTTATTTTTCTGCTATCTTATTTCTCAAAAAAATAAATAATATTTTTCTCCATATCGAAAACACCATCATGAGTGGAAATCTCCTTCCACAATTGGAATTCCGTGACAGATACACAAAGTTATAATTTCTTATTTCAGCCTTGTTTGAGATGATCTTAAATTTGTTCTTGTCTTCCCTTTTTATTTTTTTTTAATGTGGGAGTATAAAAAGTGACGAAAATGGTCATTGTATATTTTAGTATAGGTTTAAAATAGTCTCTTAAATATATTTTGAACAATTTCTATTTTTATTATGATAATGAACATTCACTTAAAAATGAAAAAAATGACTCTCCAGGCGGTTAACTTTTTTTTTTTTTCATATTTATATTTAACAATTGTTGGGACAGACTCTCGTGGAAAATGAAAAAACCCCTTATCGGATTGAAAGCGATGACTTAAGCTTCTTTCTTCTTCAAATAGGGCGTTTAAAGAGCATGGACTCTTTAGTTTAATTAAGTTCCAATTTGGAAAATGAAAAGGCCCCATTTGATTCAATTCACGAATTAGCCCACTATGAGTCTACTACATTTTTTTTTCCATAATAATTTTATATAATTAGATAATAGTAATAATAATAATAATAAAGTATATCATTCGTCTTTTTTTTATATAAAAAATCAACACTTTTAATCTTCATCAAATATTCTACGAATTCTATCAATTATATTTACAAATTCTGAGGATTTACGCGACTAGTCCTTGTACAATAAATAAGTTTTGATATGCGACTCACACTTGTTACTAGGGGTGTTCACGGGTCGGTTTGGATCGGTTAGTGGTCAAAACCAAAATCAAACCAACTTAATCGGTTTTAAAATTATCAAAACCAAATCAAACCAAATTTAATATACATTTATCGGTTTTGGCTTGGTTTGGTTCGGTTATTCGGTTATTAACCATAAACAAAAATAAAAGAAAAATTCATTCAAAATGTGAAAAAAGTGACAACAATCTATTCAAAACAAAAAAATAGTTAGAATGACTGAAATTATTGAACTTTCGATCACTGAATTTATTATGATTAAAACTTTAAAATTCACTATATTGGCTTACAAGGAAGAGATATTAACATTTTCAGTCCCACAAAGAATTGTCATAGACACTCTTATACATGAAATCAATAAAATAAATATTTTCACCTTGGACATTTTTGCTTTCAATAAGTAAATTATAATGAAAACATATATAAGATCTTTAAAATTATTTATAAAAATAATATATTAAGTATGTATATTAATAAAATATATGTATATAATTCATCAGTTTGGTTCGGTTATTTCTTCGGTTTTTTTGAATAAAACCATAACCAAACCAAATACTATCGGTTTTCAAAAATCTAAAACCAAACCAAACCAAACCCAAATAAAATCGGTTTTATTTTATCGGTTTGGTTCGATTTTTCGATTTGAATCGGTTTTTATCCAAACCGTGAACACCCCTACTTGTTACTAAAAGGGACAAGGCCCTACTTGGGTTAGAGTGTGAAGCGAAGCGCACGCTTCATTAAAGATCAAAATAAATGGAGAATAAATATAAGCAAAAGTTCACATTAAAAGCTAAAAGGTAGTTATCACAAAATTCTTCATAGACCATAGGACAAACAAAATCAAATTTATAATGGTTCAACATCTATTTCTCATTGTTCAAAAACTTTACTTATGTAAGATCGTCAGAATTTTGTATTCCACCGTTATCATTATATTATTCATCATCATCTTCCTCAGCTGTGATTGTTGCATTCTATTACTAATGGAGGAACTGACTATTCAGTAGCTTCACCTTCTTCTATATCTTCATCTTTATCATCACCAATATTAGTCACATCTGATTGAAGTAAAGCCTGACGTTTTTGTTCGTTCTTTACATCAACATATTTCTTCATTTCTTCCCTTACAACATCCGGGCATTGTTCACACCGTGTGACGTCCCTGCAAGTACCAATCAAGTGTTGTTTGTGACGAAAGATTCCGCCATTAGTAACTTTTTTACAAAAGTTACACTCAACTGCGGCCTTATTGGTCTCACTTGCTCTTTTCCCATATTTCCAACCCGGGTCAACAGTTTTTAATTGCTGTTAAGATCAAAGAAACTAATCAACAAGATAAACAAAGTAATTGAAGTAACATGTAGTAGTAAAAATGAAGAATACGATACTATGAAAGTACAAGGAATAAAATTAAGAATGAGATATTTGACCTTCAGCTTGGGTTTGCGCTGAGACTTCTTCTTGATTGTACTATTAGTTGGTTCAACCTTGAACGTAGACCCCTCACCGTCATTCAATATCTTTGTGTGCTCATTTCCTCCACTAGTTCCAGAGATCACCGGAGAAGATTCATCATCATTCGTCGTGTCATAAAGTGGAAGATTATCCACGATATATCTGCAGTAAGAAAGCCAGATTGAAATAAATATACAACACATGTATTGGCTAACTCTGTCCACCAAGGCTTGGACACATGAAAAGAAATCACCTATCTTTTTGTCTCCACTGGGATATGAACTTCCTCACTTCATTGACCATTACATGTTTCTTACAAGGAGGAAACGAAAGGCTAGCTAGTAGGTATGAAGCATAATATGACTAAAATAAATTACCTGTTATCCCCTTCTTCGCAGACTTGGTTGCACCCCTGAGCCAAGATAAAAAAGGGAACAAAAGAATAAGAAATGAGATTGACAGACTCATATCGAATTTAGAAGCATCTATTATGTTTTAAAAAACACTTCAACAGTGAGGCTTATCAATATCAACGAGAAACAAAATCAATATCTTGGAGTACCTTTGAGCAGAAAAAAGATTACAGCGGCACAATGCAAACCTCTCTTGGAATAAAATGGTGGGGCGGATCACCTCCTGGACAACTAAGTTCCTATCATATGCTGGGAGGGTGCAACTTATAAAGACTGTTCTCTTCTCAATTCAGACATACTATGGGAAAGGCAGAACGGTGTGGAATATGGAGGCTAACAATGCTCATGGATAATAAAGAAAATTCTTAAAACAAAGGAGACTATGGAAGCTGCAGGATATGGAGAAGCTGAGTTGATTCAGATGCCGAGATTCTCGATACATAAAATGTACATCCAACTAAGAGGAGTATTCCCAAAGGTAACTTGGAGAAGATTAGTTTGTAACAACAAGGGGTCGCCAAAATGGATTTTTATGCTACGACTGGCCATCCATGCGAAGCTACTCACCAAAGACAAACTGCTGAAATGGGGGGTAGTACAAGACGCGGAATGCTCTTTCTGTAATACAACGAAGGAATCTGTAGCACACCTGATGTTTGAATGCAACATATCAGCCGGAGTTTGGAAAAGGCTACTAGTAATATGGCAAGGCGTAACTCACAAACATTGAACTGGCAAGGAGAAGTACTTTGGGCTAGCACACACCACAAGAGGAAAACACCAGATGCTGAAGTCTATAGAATGACCATGGCAAGTGCTGTCTATCACATTTGGCAAGAACGAAATGCAAGACTATTCAAACAGAAGCAATGAAGTGAAGATGAGATTGTGAAGACTATCATACAGGAGATACATCATAGAGGGAATAAGTACAGTAAATTGAGAGGAACATTAGCTAGATTGGATTTTTATCCTTCCTAATCGATAGCTGATGTAGAGGGGACGAAGTAGATGAGGGGTGAGGCTGTTGAAGCTCAGGCCTTTGTTTTTTTTAAGTTCTGTAACGTTTACTTGGTGAATAAATAAATCAATTATTTGCCAAAAAATAAATAAATCCTGCTGATCAACCAAGCTTTATATGAGAAATACAAAATCTACAACATGAACTTCCATTGCTGTGCTCTAAATTCCGACATAATAAGCCATAAGGTTTATCTTTTTTTGTTTTATTGGTGTAATAAACATTTATCCTGGATTACTTTATTTTTAGCCTGAAATGCAACACGTTGTTTATCCTCTAATAAAATTTAAGGTCCTTATATTGTGGTGTACTTAGGCCCTTGGATGAAAGAAGGAGCTACAAAGGGCTAGAAAATTCAATCTATCATACACCAGTCTAGATCTAACTACCACTATATATAATTTATCTTTTAGCCTTGGCGAGACATTCTCATCACACAGTCATCTTAAAATTAAGAATGGGATATTTGACCTTCAGCTTGGGTTTGGGCTGACACTTCTTCTTGGTTTTGCTATTAGTTTGTAACGTAGACGCCTCACTGTCTTTCAATACCTTATAACTGTGCTCATTTCCTCCACTAGTTCCAGAGATCATTGGAGAAGATTCATCATCATTCGTCGTGCCATAAAGTGGAAGATTATCCACGATATATCTGTAGTAAGAAAGCCAGATTGAAATAAATATCCAAGAATTACAAGGAAATGAGTTGATGCTGTAGCATCCAAACTATATTATCATAAGCAATTTGCTCCGCTGAAACTCATAAAGAACTATCTGAAATTTTACAGAAATATAATTTTCGGCCTATTTATCAATTGACAGACTAAAGAAGTGGGATTAAGTATAGGGGAGGAGCAGCTCTTCTCATACTTCGGCTTATGGAGAGACATAACACATCAAATAAAACATGCAAGATCTCTTACTAAGCCGTTGCCTATCACATTTATATATCTTACTGAGGTTTTCATGGAATCACTAATATTTCTCTTTTACATAGAGAATCAAGATGTAGAAGTAATGGAAAGAGATGAGCTCCTGAAACAAATCAAGTTAACAGAACAATGATTACCTGTTATCCTCTTCTTCCCAGACATGGCTGCACTCCTGAGCCAACTTCCAAGATAAAAAAGGGAACAAAAGAATAAGAAATGGGATTGACAGACTCATATCGAATTTAGAAGCATCTATCATAAAACATTAATCTGTTTGTTGTCTAATTCTGGAAAGAAGGAATAAGTGAAATGACTCTATAAAGGGCATTCTAGATATAACAATTCACAAGAAACTTAAGTTACCTTAAATCCTTGAGATTTGGAACCCAAAAAAAGAGAACAGTTTGCAGCTCCACAAAGACAACGAACAGGTGCACCACCATACCACTCAAAGTTATAGTTATATGAAAGCTCCATTCCAACGGATATATCTCTCTTTGCAAATATTCCTACCCTTGTTTCCCCTAACACTATCCATTTCCTTGTTTCACAATTTGGTTGGCTGGAAAAGTCAGGAACACACAGTATCAGTACTATCAATCAACATCAGTTAACGGACTTAGTTATCTTTTCATCATTTCAATAACTGAAGTTTCATCACTTACCATGAATGATTAATGAATCTTGCTAGACTTCCCTTCTTGGTAGCATCAATGAAATAATTTGCGTTCACTGAAATAATGTATGCATCCTTGACCTCTGCACAAATCATATAGTAGTGATCGATCTGTAGATGCATTGATAACCATATCTATTGTCGATAACTTACTATGAGCTTCATAAGCCAGACACCTTTTCTTTGCTGCTTCAGATGATAGCACTTCTCCACAGTATTCCATGATGAACTGTCCAGCCTAACAATGTAAAGAGAGAGGAAGAATTGGTTGATAGAAGCTAATTAGTAATTAGTTACTTCTCAAAGGCTTCCGATATATTCCAGAGAAAATAGTAATTACGAATAAGTCATAACTACAGCTGCTTCAGCAGAATTACCTTTATATTCTCATCAGCTAAAAGACCCCAACCACGCCCTTCAGTCCTGAACAACTTAGTTTTTGCATATTCACATTTCTGGAATCTCTGTGGACAGCAAGCAAAACACTTCAAAACAATATACCAAATAATATCTAAATGACACATCGTCTCTTTCAAACATGGCATTGAGTAGAATCTCCCATTAGTTATTGACACAGTCTCCTCCGTGAAGTAGATGAAAAGATAAATTTAAGTGAAGAAAGATTTTCAACAGGGAAAGAACTAAATGACAAGCAACAATTTTTTCATTATTTTCATTTACAACGGAATAACTGAAGGGGAACCTTGGAGAAACAGTAAAATTGTCTCCGTGTAGGTCACGGGTTCCAGCCATGGAAGCAGCCACCTCAACTAATTTTTTTATAACAGTGGTGTTTGGGCCAGCTTGCGCCCACCTCAACTAATTTCATGAAGTAGCGGGTAAACTCTGTTCGCCAAGGCTTGGAGATAGAAGAAATTACCTAGTATTTTTACCTCCACTAGATTTTCACCTTGAGATCTAATGGTTCTCAATTCACTTCATCGCCACTAAGCCACACCCTCAATGTTCTATTAAGGATATTGCATATAACAATTTGAACAATTAACCCTATACGTATACGACAAATCTAGACGCATTATAACTATCACAATCAAGGTAAAGATCGTATGCTCCACTCTTACCACACAAATACTTGACTTTTTTTGCTAACATAGAGACATTGACTTGACAGATTTACTAGCGTGAAATAACTGAAAAGGTTAGTTAACATGAAATATTGACTTGACATATTAATAATGTGACGTTATACATTGTCCACGTTAGACGTGTAACATGATGTAGTGCTCATGTTAGACTTTGTCAGAACAGTTTTGCAGTACGGAATTGGCCCAAGTGAGCAAGACTGATCCCATGAAAGGTGAAAGAAGAGAAGCAAACAATGGACACATAAAGAAATAGATGCAGGAAGCAGTTTGTCATAGGCTTCCAATCTGATGATTCATCTCAAGAGGGTGGAAAAGGAAAAAACAAACATGATGGGGATGCTAAGACAAAGGTTGATTTATAACAGACTTGTCAGAAAAGAAAAATATATTTCGAGCAGAAGACTAGCTACTTCCATCCATTTAGAAGTTCCTTATGCTAGATTGATATGAAGATCGTGATGTCCTAGTGGCTAATAGGGAGGAAATTCTTAGAATAATAGTCAGAATTCTACTTGGGTATGAGGAAGAGTCCCATGACGTGCATAGGAAAAGATAGCATTAGGAGACTGATAAAGAAGAAAAATGCAGAAGTAAAAGCATAGAAATTCGACAAGACAAGAAACTGGATAAAGCTCCGTCACATGAAATATATGAGGAACATCATGTGAAAGAGTTTGCACCTATGCACACCATGCATGGAGGAGATAATTTGACCTTTTGAGGATAACTTGGTTGAATAGTTGAAGGACATAAAAGATATGAACATGGTAAAAGTGTATAAATATAGAGAAACGTCATGAAATGTTCAACTAATTAACCAAATCATCTAATTTACCTGATTCCTGCAATTTTCACCACTCTGACAGTATCCTAGTGTACACTCAGTGCTGGTCAGTACATTTAAGCATCTTTCTCCACAAGCAGTTTCAGGATCATTGACACCATATTTGCATTCACAAACAGCGACGTCCTCTTCTTTAAGTTTCTTATGTCTGTAAGACATTAGAACATTCCAATTAAAATTGACTAACTAAAGCCAGGATTAGTGATAATCGAAAACTATTAAACTCCAAATGGAGTTCAAACTCCAAATTATAATATGGAGTTCAAATTTCTTCTTTTACTCATTTTCTTGCCAGTGAAATTATATCTCATGACATTCTTGGCAGATCATGGAATAAGGTACACTAGTTAAACAAAGTTTAATCTCTTAAAAAAACAAACTAACTTTTTGGACCGTGAGTATAATCAATATGCTATCCAAGTGGTTCTAACAATTGTAAATGAAGACACAATAATTCAGAAGTTTAGACAACAAGTGTATAAAAATAGCTTAAGTATAAGGATTATCAAAAGAAAGAATGCAGTTAACGGGTGGTAATAACAATTGTAAATGATGGCATAATAATTCAGAAGTCTAAGCAGCAAGTGTATGAAAATAAGCTTAAGTTTAAGGATTATCAAAAGAAATAATGCAGTTAACTGGTAAGGAGACCATCATAAAAAAAAAGCAAAGAAATGATTGGAGCTCACTTTCGCCCTAAAAACTCATTTTGAGTAATTTGAACAAATGGTGTTACTCCTTCTGGCAGTTGGACCTTCAAAAAAGAAAAAAGAATCAATTCACCTCATGACTTGATATAAATAGTCATATTGTAATGAAAAATCACTTATACAGTCTCCATAAACATTACTATACAGTGTGATCTTTAGAAATATACGACTAACAATAGGCAAATAATATATCATACAACTAATTGTTTAGATAAACCATGTCACTGATATGAGCATCCATGTTTTAATGGAAGGGAAAATAAAGTAACTTTGATAATAAGGAATGCACACCATAACATCAACCATCCAAACACTAGGATATTCAATAAGAGAACTTTTCAATAGTAAAGTTTATTAACAAGCACAATAGCACAAAAATGGGTATGGAACAGTAGTACACTTATGACTATAGCACTTTCCTACTGCAAGGAGTCAATATTGTCCAAACAAAAGTGGAAAATGACTTATATTTTTCATCTACATTTTTAATAAGCCAAAGTTTGTTGAGAGAACAAACTTTGTTGAGGAAGATTAATTATTAAGGTAAGGCCCCGCAACTTCTAAGCAAAGATTTGAACCATCCTCCATATGTGTATAGGCCCGAACCCGATGATTTATAAGTTGTACATATATGTTAAGGTCCTTTACTAAGTGTAGTAAGTATATCAGATGTGTTGTAGGAACGTAAGTTACCTCAAACACCAAACCAAGTTCAAAACATTTTTATCGGCTAAGGTTTTACATTAGTTCATACAAGGGTAAATTTCAAACGACCACATCTCTCAGCATAGAATGAATGAGGTGGTCCATTACCTATCAAATTAAAGGTTTATGAGTCTTCTTTCCAACGCTACCAAATTTGCATCATTTCAAGTGTGGCATAAAATGTTATGACCATTTTACCAGAGACTATACCATATCAGAGTTTTCAGAGTTAGTAACTACGAACCGCATTCACATGTTGTAAATTGAAGTATGACCCGTAGTTTCAACTCGTGAAACAAACTTTTGAAAGTCATTTATTTGTCTGATTTTCATGGACCCAATTACGGGCCCGTAATTTGGGCCCGTAGAATGAATTTTGAGACTTAAAATTTTAGTCTGACACACATGGATGGGATCTACGGCTCGTAGATGAAACCACAGACCATAGATGACCTCGTGGAAGGTTTTTGATAACTTTTTAATTAGGGTTTCTTTTATCTTTTCCCACTTTTTCTAAGCCTAAGCCACGATGTTTTAACTTTTATTAGGGGAACATATTCCATAAAGTACTCAGATTTATTTTATTTCTACGCTCTCAACTCCCCAACTCAAAAAGAAACCGCAAGGAAGACAAAAACTAGGGTTTCAAGGCTTCCAAACAAGTTTTTCTTTTGACCTTCATTCTCTCAGGTATATAAGGCTTCAACTAGAGTATCTCTTCAATTAGTGTTTAACAGAGGAGAATAAGAGCTGATTGAAGAAGAAAAAGGAAAAGTGATTTCTATTGATAAATGAGACTGAATAAATACATCGCAACTTAACTAAGATGATGTAAAGTAATGCTAAAAAATCTGCTAAAACTAAGTTACTGTTTGCTGAAATTGAGGAACTAATACTTAAAAGTAACTACACAAACTAGGAAACAGAAAATAGCTAAAATATAGCAATTTATTCTGGTGTGCACTTCCTCTCATACCTAAATTATTTTGATTTTCAAGAATTCTTCAAGATTGTTAGAAGTAAAATTAGGAATTTTTATGAACTAATGATCTTCGTTATTAATTTATGTTTTTATTATTTCACTTTGGTTTTGAAACCTTATGATATTGATTTAGCATGATTTTTATGGTCATTCAAACTCTTATGGCTTTTAAGCATGAAAACAAACATGATATGAATTACAACCTAAATACATGTTATTTTAAGATGTGACTTTTGAGATTAGCCTCATACATGATTCAAAATGATAAGTGGTTTTCATACCTATGAGCATTATATGAATATATGTTGTATTGTGAGGACTATTTAGTACCGAGAGGACTCGAGTTTAGAAAACCAAAATCCCATAACTATGCACCAACGTAGGATTATGTTTAACCGTCTTGTCGGTTGACTTTCTAGCCTTGAGAGGCTAAGATTAGTGGATTCACATAGATATGATATGGTCCTATCCTCAGTCAAGGTATAGGGAAACCCTCCCAACTAGGTTAGTTGTTGAACATCATGAGCTTACATGGTATATGTCGGTTATAAAAAACTCCCTAATTATGCATTTTTATGATATGTTTTTAAGTCTTTATGGCTCATTTCAAGTATGTTATTTTGTGTATATGATTATGCAAGGCTACTGAAAAAAAACTCAATTATATGAATATGTGCTTTTGAAAAGATATTTTTATGATACTTATTCATAGATTCCAATTGTTTCTCATCAATTCTTTCGCTATGTATATGATTTTGAGAACGTTATTTCACTGTCCCCGTTATGCCATTTCTACTACTATGGTAGTGCCTTTTACTTACTTAGTACATTCCACGTACTGACACATACTTTTCTCTGCGCTGCATCCTTTTATGATGTAGATTTCGGTGCTCGTACTCAGACTCGTCAATAGTAAGGTTGCAGCATTTGCAATTAGCACTTGGTGAGCCCTCCTCATTTGGAGACTCCATTAGTTTAGGTGACCAGACTCTACTTCATGTTGTCTTTGGTTTTGAGGTAGTTGGTGGTCATGTCCCAGCAAAATTATGTTTTCTTAGTATAGGCTTATTTTTAACAGTAAAAATGTAGTTTCATGGATTTTCTAAACTCTATTATTCAGTTATGTATTTCAGCTTCTGCTTAGTTTCTTTATGTGATTCTTTGATATGTATGCCAAGGGTTAGCTTGGGATCACTTGTGGTTCCAGGTATCGTGTTTCGGCTGGGGTATAGACTCGGGTAGTTACAAACAACTTCCAACTAGTTTGTTACAATGGCAAGAACAAAGTAGAGTAATCTAGACATGTGTTGACTCAATATCACCTATAAAAAATGATGAACCCACTTTCCAAGATGCATATATTTTGTCCATAAATACAAATTCAACATAACTCAACAGAAGACCATAATATCCTCAAGAATTGTTTCTAAATTTCTTAAATTTATGTCTTAAAAAATTCTTAGTCCAGTCAATGCCTCAAAGCTAAGGGTATGAACTAGAACACATTTGGAATGAACAATTACATCATACACAAACAATAAGGTTTAGATCTTGCTATTTTGTAGATGATGTTAAGTTTTGATGATTTAACAAACTTAGGGATCTAACAAGGGACCATATCTAGGAAAGGGTCTTCTGGTACAGGGAAAATGAATGAATAAACTCAGCGTAAGGAATATTTGTGTGTCATCATCAAAAAAGAGGAAAATGTTGTATTCTAGGTGTTTTGATGATCCTCACATATGCAGGGACTCGATCCTTGGCAGAGTGCTCTCGTTCAAATTCAAAATGGTGTACAAGTATAAAGCTGTCTTGTCAGGTTAGTTGGTGAAAAGTGAGCGTACTTCACCAATAGGAAGGGCGGATAAGGTTGTTTGTTTCAGTGGTCAAAACTCTTGTTGGGGATTGATATATACAACAATAAACAAACAACATTATTCATTCAAAAAGAGAGAGAGCTAGCAAGTCTTTTCAAGAACTCACAAAGAAAACACAGAAAGGGACCTGGTCCCAGATAGACTGCGTACAGGGAAAAGTCAAAAGACAGATGTCTAAAAGTTGTCACATCTAACATGGTTGGTGCACAACTTTTCAGAGTAGCAGGCTCTCAGCCAATGGTGTCATCCCAAGGGGTTTGTGTCCATTTGATATAGTCTCTTCTCACAAGACACAAACTAAGATTTGAATTTTTGAAAATTCATAAGCTTACAAAGAGAAGGTCATATTCGAGGAAGAACACTACTCATACTCAACAAATGAGATGATAAAGTGCTGAAGAGTCTTTGTTGTACTTTGAGCTTTGTGTCTTATGTGCTTACATTGTAAATCTACTCCTAAGTTATAAATGATAGTAGATCATTTGCTTGTCTAAGTCTTTAGTTTGAGTCGTATTAACTAGAGTTAGTTAGTAGAATCATCTATGTTTTATTCAACCTTTTTTACATCATTGTTTTTATGTTCTCTTGGGTAGAGTTTCCTAGGAATGCCAACTAGAGTTAGTTGTGCATCAGAGTTGCTGCTTGTTTAGCTCTCATCGTTGAGATCGGAGTTGGTGGCTATAGTTAGTTGTGTTGGGTTCTTAAAGTCTAGATCAACTAGAGTTAGTTGGTTTAGTGGGCAATAGAGTTATTGCTTTGTTTTCCTTTGTACTAGAGTTGCTACAGTAAGGGGGAAGGGATTAAAAAGTTTTAATTCCTAGGTTGCAAGAGTTTGTAATCTGAAACTTTGCTTCATTTAAATGAAATGGTGTTT